GACCCTTCATCAAAGTCATCTAATTGTTCCAGCCTGTGTTTAACCTTTTCATTCAAATTGGATACCTGTCTTATAAGAGCTGAAAAGGAACTAACTTAAAATAGAACAAAAAAAAACAAAAAGTAAACAAAAAATGAGATAAGAATTAGTATGTTTTATAAAAAATTTAAGCATACATTTGATATGACACATACTTTTTTCTCCACCTGGTAAATAGCTGCTAACAATTGTAAGCTTTTCACCAGTTGTGTATTTATTCAGAATCCCTGTTCGCCTTGAATTCCAAGCTTTAGTGTAATTGACCCCTTCAATGTTTTCTGGCTCCAAAGGAGATATATCCTAAACACATTTAATATATTGAATAATTATAGAACTCAATCAGTAAAACAGAAAATCTTTTAAGATGGGTCTACTTACTTCCTCTGCATTCATTTGTTCAAATCTTAACAATGGGTCCACTTCTTCAAAACCAGAACTCCATTTATTTAGGTGGTCTATAAGGGTGGAGCTAGTCGGCTCCTTCTGTAAAGTGAAATATGTATATGTAGTATATCAGTATAGTCATAAGAACTGAGAAGTAAAAATCAATACATATCTATTTAAGTGCAAGATCCATCTCCAAATAATATTGGATAATATACAAATATCAGTTTAACTCAATACTTACAATGGTAATTACATTTGTCTTCAGAGGGTAGCTGGTCACTACAAAACTAGGAGAATCCTGTTTGAACCTCTTTAATTTCTTCAATGATGTCCTAAAATAATTAAGTAGATTTATGAATTTTTATACAATTTTTGATGACGATACTGATTATTTTGGGTGCTGCTAAATTTATCATAATTTATTGAAATTAAATTATAAGGCATTTAGTGAGTGAGTCTCCTTAGGGGCGGATTATTTAAAACATTCTATTATAGTGTTAGTTACAAAATTAGAAACACTTCACTATAAAAATACTGTGCATTTGTTAAAAATAATAATAACCATTCATAATAAACAGGCATAGTTGCGGCTTCAATCAAATGAGATAACTATTTAGTATTATTTCTGTAATGAAGAACTTGAAGAATTCCTATAAAAAATAAACTATTGTAAACAACACAGCGATAAGTTTTATTTCAAGTCAATTAGCTCAACAATAAATTCTTCCTGTCATTGTCATTTGTCAAAAAGTTGATAGATTGTTATTAAAATGTTAATTAGGGATGTGGCATTCGTTTATATTGTTCTAGAATCTATGGTTTTGCAATCCAGTCAAATCAAAGTTGGATACAATATTTATGTTGTAAAGGTTTATGTAGTTATATATGTCTGATATCTAATAATTCAGTCCGAAATATAATATTAAATCCGAGTTAACATTTTTAAAATCGCTATCATTTGTCAAATGTCTTTTTAATGAATGTCCAATACAAATGTCAATGTCAACGGTCTTAAGTTGCTCGACATGGACCATGGTCAACAAACATAAAGTCAAATTAAAACTTTGGCCTTGGTGTGATTTTAGAATTAGCTGTAGTGTAGTTTAGTTTTGTGTGGAAGCGTTTTGTACTTTCATCAATTTTATTTATAGGTGGCTATATTGGCATTCTACCAGGAAATTTCGCAACAAAGCGACATTTCCTTATTCCTCTTCATATGGTTATGGAATTATGAACTTATATAAGAGTAATTTTTTGTTGTACTATCTAATTAAATATGGGTGCATACAGCAAATTTGTCAATGCTTTCAAGAAATATCCCCTTTTAAGGGGAATGGCATCTTATAGCATTATCTGGCCAGGTTCTAGTCTAATACAACAAACCTTTGAAGGAAAGTCTATTGGTAAGTGCACTGATAATTTTAACTATACCCTTAGGTAACATTTTATCTTAGTGTTATAATGAAGTTGAATTAAAGTATTTGTTTCATTGAAGCAGATTAGCCCCATGCATTTTATTTTTTCAATTCACAAATCTTTATTATTTCAGATAACTATGACTGGTGGAGATGTGCTAGATATGGTCTCTATGGGTCTTGTTATGTCGCCCCTACATTGTATAGTTGGCTGACAATTGCTAACATAATGTGGCCTGGAAGTTCTATAAGAGCAGGTATCATTAAGGTAAATGAAACACCAGTATAGTACTCGTAATTCATTATTGATCAGTGATGCAAGAGTGGTACTAGTATATGGTGTTATTTGTTAGGTACAATTTTTTTTATTTCGGTTGATGTTTGACCACTAACATTTTTGTTTATGTAATAACATAATTAATTTGTTAAAACTAATTACCAATTGTTTTTAATAGTAATTACCTTTACGTAAACTTGTTAAGTACTTTAAACACCAGAAATCCACACTTATCTAACATAATAAAGATACTTATGTTTGTTGAAGATTTCTTAGAAATAAGGTTTTCTATTTGTAGGTACTTGGTTTTGAAGAGAAATAATTACATTTATTTTTATATATAAGTGTATAGTGTCAATTATCAATATTGTAGACACTTACTTGTGGTTAGTGGGCACTTAGTGGGCATTCCAGTATTTCATTGTATTTTTGATATTTTCAGACCTTTGTGGAGACAATAACATACACACCATTTGCAATGTGTAGCTTTTATTTTGGTATGAGCTTACTTGAATCAAAGCCCTTCAATGAAGCTATTGCTGAAGTTGAAGCCAAATTTCTGCCTACTTACAAGGTATGTTTTTATAGCACTGTGTTTTAAATGACCTATGTATATAACTCTTATTAACTCGTCTAGTACCGTCATTATAGACACAATTATAAAACAATAGGTTGCGGTCACTAGTGACTGCTTGGTGTTTAACAGTTTAAGCAGATACATGGACCCTTCTAATTGTGTACCCAGATGCTATTCTAAACTATTGTGTTGGCTGATTTAAATGACAATTACCATTGTAGTAAAATATGACACCATCAAGATATCACCATAATATTAGATAATTAAAATACTCTGTACATAACTACTTCATACATTGATCTTTTTATTGTTTATGTTTTCAGGTAGGTGCCTCTGTGTGGCCAGCTATTGCTATGATTAATTTCTGCCTCATTCCTCCAAGAAATAGAGTGCCTTTTATTAGTCTGTGTAGTCTTGTATGGACATGCTTCCTTGCATATATGAAACACTTAGAAAAAGAGAAAGTTGCAGCAACATCAAGTGCAAATCCCATAAAATTACTAAAAGTAAATTTATGAGAGCACAATGACTTAGCAAATTTTTAGCTGAAATTTATGTTATTTTTTGTAAGATGTTTAGATTGTGTTATAATTTATTTTAGTTCAATTGTTAATAATTCCATCTCAAATATGTGTGATATTTAAATAATTTATAGTTACTCTTACAATGATCTTGATTATTATTTATTTCTGTGTTAATATTTATATGAACAGTATTTAAAAAGTGGGATATTAATAAATAAATACATATAGTATTGAATTTTAGAATAGTTGGGTTTATTTTCATTATTTTAATTGTATAGTTATAATATGCAGTACCTAATTGCCAAATTGGTAAAAACTAAATCTCAATCATTGATAACCCAATTATTCTAAATACATTTTCTTATATTTTAAGTGTAGTATTCATTTCTGCATATTTTCATTCAAGGAAACCATGTAAGAGACCACAAAACAGGGTGATAATAATACATTTTAAATACAAGGTTCCAACATGAATATTATATAGATTAAGTAAATAAAAACGTGAATGTATTGACAATAATGTATTTAATGTTGTTTTTATTGAAACCTAATAGTCTAGTAGTAGTATCCATTTTAATATCTAGTGAAGGTTACAGTCCGTAAATCACAAATGCGTGACTCACGTATACAAGTAGGTAACAAGTGACCTATACTTATAATATTTGCAAACGACACATACCATGATAAGACAATATCTTAAATGAAAAGTGCTGCCAATTTCATTTCATTCTAAAACATTCTAGAATTCGGCAGATGGTCGGTAACTAAGCGGATTAGTTTCTGTGAGATTTGTGTTTACATATAATTTTCTGAGTTTTGGGGATCATTGAACATTGGGGATAGGGCCAGAGAGTATTGAACCTACATAATGATGCCTACTGAAGACGCTACTTCTTACCCTAAGTAGCGTCTTCGTCGATGATGCTACTTAGGGTAAGACGTCGATGATGCTACTTGGGGTAAGACGTCGATGATGCTACTTAGGGTAAGACGTTGATGATGCTACTTAGGGTAAGACGTCGATGATGCTACTTAGGGTAAGACGTCGATGATGCTATTAATGGTTTGTTTTGTAATATCATTAATATACTTATGCATTAGGTATACAATTCCAAATTATACGCGCAAAGCTGAAAGGTAAGGCAGAAATTTGTCAATAACACTTAGAAACGGGCCTTCAGGTCCGTGATATAATACTATGATAAAAGGAATGCTATTAGTTAAATTGGTCGGCCAAACACTGAAACTTGACTCAGAGTCCGACCCCATCCGTACCGATGCCTGTGTGTGCGGCTCGCTAGACAAATCCAGCGTCTCCCCACGGGCGCCAGAGCCCCAGTTTTATTATTGTTAGACCAAAATTTACTTCCTTAGGTCTTTGCTAAATCTACTTCCTAAAATACTTCCTGTTTGTGTTAGGATTTCATTTTCTCAAATAGGTATTTAAGAAAACGCCGTTATTTTGTGATCAACAAAATAAATTGGAATTTCGATTTTTGCAATTCCCGCCATTCGGAAGCGGAATGTGCAATGTGCAATACAGATTAGACACTATAAGATCAATAAAATACATTGCAAACAGTGTTTTAATAAGAGCAAAACAAAAAGTGGAAATAATGGATGAAAAAAAAAATACCATTATTTTTTTGTCATTTAACTCTTGGTTTCATTATCGTTGTAGATCACTGATATGATAATGTTGTAGATAACTCGTTCTAAAAATTAATGTCCCCAATTTTTATTGTTTTTTAATAATTTACACTGCATTTGGTTACACCTCTATTCCTGAGCTGTCATGCTCTTTGTGTCATGTTATCATGTTTTATTATTTGTCACTTGTCAGCTGCTTGCTTGAGGGAGTTGAATTGGAGTTGAATGAAATAAGAAAGAAATTGGATTCGCTGAGTCGAAAAAGTGGTACAGTGTAATCGTATGTGGGTGCTTACTAAAATTACACTGTTCAGTGTTTAGAAATAGGTGAGTCTGAGTGATATATACTGCAATGTTGCAGCGAGATGGTTTTGAAAACATAAGCAATAAGTTTTGAACGCCTATATTGGCATATTAATTCAAAGACTTGACCAAATAATGATACATAAATAAACAATAGCTTGCAGTAATTTTGCTATGCTTGTATAAAGTAAGAACTTATAATGTCTAGTAATTCTTTGCTGTTTTCCATTAATAATGAAGGCAAAGTTTACGCCTTGTCAACAAGTGGATCATGTTGGAGAGAATTCATGTATCTTGGCTTAGAATTCAAAACATTGTCTGCGGTACCACATTACCTTTGGGCTGTTGGTGGTGATCGACAAATCTATCTCCACGTTCACGGCCTGGAAATACCTATAAGAGTTAGAGAGGAATCTTACGAGAATGAAAGGTGGTTACCACTAGAAGGCTTCAGTGGAAGATTGTTACCCACAGACAGATATCATTTTTCTTCTCAAGATGGTACAAAAGACAGATCAATTGATCGCATAAGACTACCATCCATGGCCTGGCAGTGGGAGGGTGATTGGCAACTCGAATTGACATTAGATGGTCAGCCCTTAGATCATGATGGATGGACATATGCAGTGGACTTCCCAGCTCAATTTGGCCCCTCAAAACAGTGGAAGTCTTGTGTTAGGAGAAGAAAGTGGATAAGGTACAGAAAATTCAGTGCTATGAATTCATGGTGTGCTATTGCTCCTTTGCATAAAGATCCAACACAAGAGCCTTTCATAGATGTAAGCATTGGTGGCAATCAAATACCATATGCATCTCCTGGAACATTATCAGTTTGGGCCATAACTGCTCATGGACGTGTTATGTACAGAGCTGGTGTCAGTACTACATCTCCTGAAGGTTTGAAATGGATTAACATAAGTATACCTCCTAATTGTGATATTAAACAAATATCTGTTGGACCTACTGGATTGGTGTGGGCACTATTGTGGACAGGAAGAGCGATTATTAGGAAAGGCATAACCAAAGACTGTCCTACGGGAGAGGCATGGATGGAAGTCAAATCTCCTAATGATACAAAATTAGTGTCACTTTCTGTTGGATTTAATGCCATTTGGGCTGTGAGTTCAGATACAAGAGTATGGTTTAGAAAAGGTATAGATGGGAATTCAGCTGGTACCTCTGAAGGAGCTGCAATGGGAAGTGGTTGGCTAGAAATATCAGGACATATGAGCTATATTTCTGTTGGTATCAATGATCAAGTATTTGCTATTGGTGACTCTGACAAAAGTATTTACTGGCGTAGTGGTATAACTCCTGCTGAGCAGACTGGTAAAAGGTGGCGAATGGTGCAGGCTAATATGCAACTAAGTAGGACATCAAGCTCAGCAAGTGTGGTGTCTTCAGCTTCAAATGCCAAACATCATAGTTTAAATATGCTCAATGAATCTACAACTGAGCTCAAGTCTAACATCAATCTACATAATTCATGGGAAGAATCACACTCTGCACCTATTGAACACACATTACCCATTAAACCTAAAGAAGCTCGCCAAAAACGAAATGAGCAAGTAGACAATATTGATTACACAGGGAAAAGCTATGAAACCACTTTAAAAAATCCAAGAGCATGGAGTCCTGTGAGAAGTGTGGGCTCTGTTGTAGGAATGGAGGCTCAACCAGACAGTGACAGCAGTGTGTTTGATGTTGATTCAGGAATGTTTTTTGATGATGAAATTAGCCAAACAGCCTGGGGGACTTGTGAAACTACCTGGGCATTTGTGGAAGCTGGGGCTTGTTCCGTAGATGTAATGCAGGTACCACATTGGTTTACAGACTCACATAGTGCATTTAATTTGGATCTCACTTCTAAGTGGAGAATCCAAATTTTGGATAATCTCAAAATCAGGAATAATAATGTTACTGTAGACCTATCTAATTATGGTGTAGCAGTAGAAGAAAAAGGCTGGACACGGAGCTGTGAGTCAAGATTAATAAATGCTAATAATTCTAGTGAAGATTGTATATTGTCTTTATATTGGCATGATTTAGAAAACATAGGAACTCTATCTGTTTTCCAACCAGATGGTACAATAAAGTTCATCCTAAATCTAGGTGAAGTTACTAGTGTAATAACATCATCAGAACCTGGAAATCCCAGAATAACATTGTCTGTTCCACGCCAACACAAGAGCCCTATCAAAGTGCAATTTATATCAGAAATGGAGCAAGAAGAATGGTTTAATGTTTTAGTTGATATTACTTCTCAAATTAATGGAGTTACTGGCAAGCCATCCCATAACTCAGTATGGGCAATTGCTAGTTCTGGTGATGTACTAAATTGGGATCCAATGCCTGCAAAACTTAACATTTCAAATAATGGACAATATGTCAAGGAATTCCAAGTCTTTGGAAAAGATATAGTGTCTGGTTTCACAACAGCTTTGCATAATAATTTTCCGCCTGGAAGTACAATAAAAGTTTCGGGTTGTTTACATGATGAAATAAACAGATTTCATATTAATTTAGAAGGACCAGAAGTGAAGAAACAGAGACATAAAATTGAAACTGAAGTCACTGAAATTCCTTTCCATTTCAATGTAAGGTTTGATGAAAGAACTGTTGTTTGTAATACAAAAATCTCTGGTAGTTGGGGAATGGAAGAGCGACATGAACTACCATTGTCTCCAGGACAGGAATTCTGCGTAACAATAATTTGTGATGTGAATGTTTTTAAGATACTCGTAAATGATAAACTATACTGTTACTATGAGCACAGGCTCAACCCTAAAAATATAACAGCAGTTTGCATAAAAGGTCCCTTAAAACTTTTTTCTTTGGAATATTCCACTACAAATGCTATAATTGGATCTGAAGAAATGTACTGGAGAATCATTGGAGGATATTTGCGACGTGTGGAGTCTTGTCAAAAAGGTATTGTTTGGGGGATATCTCATGACCACCGAGTCTGGGTTTATACAGGAGGATGGGGAGGAGGGATACTTAAAGGTAAATGAAGAAAACTTTCATTCACTAAGATTCTTATAATTTTCTCTGTATGCTATGAAATAAATATCTTTATAATTTTAGGTATCGGTAGCAAAGAAGGAATTCACTCAATGACTGACACACAAACTTACTGTGTATATGAAAATCAGAGGTGGAATCCTCTTTCTGGGTATACGTCTACAGGCTTACCAACCGATCGTTACATGTGGAGTGACGTAACTGGAAAACATAAAAGAACTCGAGAACACACGAAACTTCTGAATCGTCATTGGCATTGGGTAACATACGATTAAGTAGTGTTATTAGTACAATTATTTATCCTAACATTAAAATAATGCACTTTTTTCTTCTGTCTCTAGGTATCTGAATGGATGATTGATTATAACACTCCCGGAGGTGTCGATTCCGACGGATGGCAGTACGCAACCGATTTCCCGGCACCATATCACGGGAAAAAAATATTTACTGATTGCGTTCGACGTCGAAGATGGTATAGAAAAGCACAAATTATTACCGAAGGCCCATGGGTTAGAGCTGGTAGTACTGCATTATTGGATATTTCCCTATGGGTAAGTTCAACGGCTTTAAAAAAATGACGTTTATTAAAATTATTAAGTACCTGCTTAAGTACTTACCTAGCATAATCTAAGTATTAACTTCAATCTTAACTGAGTTTTGTAAATAATTCTCGACAGGCCAATAGTGATGACGAGATAACGGTTTGGGCAATCACTTTGGCTGGCGATGCCATATACCGGACTGGAGTTACAGTTTCATCACCAACGGTAACTAACTATACGATTGTTGTACCCATATAAAACACTTCTTTCTTACTAAAAGAGGAAAGTACGGAAAATCATTTTGAAACTTGTACGTTATTTATTTTAGGGTACTCATTGGGAACACGTTAACAACCCACAATCGCTTATAGCAATAAGCACATGCAATAACATAGTTTGGGTTGTTGGCCGAAAAGGAGAACTTTATTACAGAGAAGACATATCCAAAGAGCATCCATCTGGACACAGCTGGAAACTGATTGAAGCCCCTAAAAGTAGTCATTCCTATAACCACAAATCTGGCGCGGGAGCTAAGGCAGTTTCGTTAACCAAAACATCAGCGTGGGTGTTACTCTTAAATGGAACTATAGCCGTGAGGACCAACCTTTCTAGAAAACAACAGGATGGTAAAGAATGGAAATATTTAACAGGTAAATAAACCTATCTTAATTTATTGATATTACACACCCGAAAAACCCAATATCACCATTACCTTACCAACCGAAGAGCGAATTCAGAACTCAAAAGGAAAATACAAAGATAGACTTATAAAAATTATGAATGTTTATTCATAAATTGTTGCGCTATATCAATACGGTTAATACATGCCTATTTATTATGACCAATCATATTTATTATACGCCATCTTTAATGAATCACCAATATTAGTCAGAATTACACAAATACAAAGTACGTAATATGAATGTATAATAATTATAAATTTACAACCCACGTTTTGTTTCCAGATTGTGATATGACTTTTAAACATGTTTCTGCTGAGGACAACGAGGTATGGGCGGTTACTACAGACGGTGTACTTCAAAGACGACTTGGTATATCAGCAGACAACGTCACCGGTTCAGCTTGGCAACACATTTTATCAGCAAACCTCGTACATGTTTCGGCCAGGGGAGGCTATTTAAAATGAAAATATTTACCGTCTTTCGTCTAGATTACTCTTATATATATATATTTAAGTCGTATGAATTTGTTTCTCAGAACTCGGTTACAAGTTATTCATTCTAAGCTTGTGTAACAGCAATTGTAGAGATGTCAATATGTATTCTAAGTTTCTCATTCTTACCAAAAGACTTAGGAAAATGATATTATTATAGAGACACGCTTTCGAAGACCTGTAATAATGAACAAGTTATTTGTCATCGCCTCTTTTATCCAGTAGATTAATGCAGTATAAGTAATATTATGTGACATAACACTTTAAAATCCATCTTAAAATACAACACCTTAGGAAGCGTATTTGCTTTCCGATTGCTTGTCAAATATAACCTGGGGGTGCCTAAGCATTGAATTTATACAGTAATTTGCTTTTGTTGAAAAACTTGAACAAAAATTCAATTTCAATAGGTACTGTTTCGCTATTTATATTTTAATCTACCAAACATTGTTGACGAGATACGCCTTCCGGAGACTGAGGGCAATGCACCGTAAGCGCATCTCTTCACTCTTCTATCTGGTCACTAATTGTCTGCAACAAAGGCCCTTTATCAATCTAACTAGTGTAACATTATTATATGTGCGCATGAGGCGTAGGTACCGTCCGAACCCTCAACGACATCAAAGTAATCAGTATGATTTACCAATAGCAAGCAAGCCAGTATTCTCAATATCTAATCCCTGTGCTCATAATACACGGTACCTAATTAAATTTGTTTATTGGAAATATAGCTACCCAATTGTATTCGATTACTTTCACATCGACCTGAGCAGCTAAACTAAATAATCTCTTACAATGTGAGACAAAAACCTCACATTTGTATGTTGATGGTCGAAGTATCAATCAAAGGTCATGCAAGTACGATCTGTGGGAACATTAATATTTCTAGATATAATTAATATATTTACTTTTTTTGTTTGTTTCACATACTTGTGTAACTAAGTATCATTCTCCTATAAAACAGCCTCGAAATCAACCTAGTGATATTTATTTTTCTAGATTAGCTAAAATTAATCGTTATAAATTGAATTTATACACATGTAATCTTGAGACATGTATTGCTTCTTCGTGAGTACTTCCAAGTATTAGTAGCACTTAGTTGATAAGAATAAGCAGAAACCAGTAGGCCCACAGTTATGACAGTGGTGTTTGGCTTTTGTATCATCCTAACGAAACGTCGGCGTCCAATCGGCATATGCTTACATTAGATTTAACTCTTATAACAACTTAAATATTATTTTTCATTTATCGGTTACATTTTTTGATAAACTTGCCACATTCATTAATTTATATTCAACAATTTGGTAAAATCAATCAGTGAATTTAATTCGGTTCGATCGTCATTTCGTTAGGTTATCTCAATGTTTCGGTGCATTTTTCTATTTGTGATTTTTTAGATTTCCAAATATAATTGTGATTTTACAATATAATTTTAGACTGAGGCTACATTTATGTTTTAAATGTTAGTAACATTCCAACTTAGTAAACTCCTTTATTTAAATTTTTACTCTAAGTAATAGGATAAGTAATAAGATATTGTTTTCTAGTCATTGGTGTTTATTGTACTAAACTTATGTTAACTAAATCGAATATACCAAAAATGAAGCTTGCGCTAAACAAAGGTACATACTTGAAATTGAATAAAACAGCTATCATATTATAATGCGTTTTTAATAACCCAAAAACGGTTTATTTTAATTTAATGCATGAAGTTACATCTTAATCAAAAGCCATAGGTACTTATTTCGTAAAAATCAAATTCTAGTCAAACTGCAAATATGAAGATGCATTATACATATTATTTTATAGGCTCTTGTTTCTACAATGAAAGAAAATTGTTTATATTTCTAGTAAACGAATTTGCACGACATTTATATTTATTTAGAGCAAATAATCTAGTTCATATCTCAAATAGTGATTATTTGGATCATTTTGTATTCTTGGGTATCCAGCGACTAATGCATCTTGTCCTCCAATATATAGAGTGTTGTATATTTTCCAGTACACATCGCGAACTTTTCTTGCAGGATGGAACAGTCCCTGAAACAAACAACAAGTATCATGATTATCAAAATAATTAGCCCCTTAGAATATTACAATACTAGCCTAACATGGAGAAGGTATGGCATTAATAGCCAAGCTTGCTCAAGGCGGATTGGCTATTTTAAACATCTATTTAGTAATTTCAGGTTTCCTCATGATGTTTTCTTTTACAATGATCATCTTATACAAGAATTAAAATGGGACAAATGAGACTACATGATTTCTGTAACCCTTAGCAATTTTACAAATAAGTACATACCTGTAGAGCATACTGTAAGATTTTGACAGGACCTAGAGCAACCCGCATGCCTTCCACAGCATCCATGAATGCTTGCACTAAATGTGGTGAAGTCTCAAAGATGTTTGGCCACACATGGTTGAGCAGGTGTACTAAAGCATCTTCGCAGCCGAATCCATATACACCCAGAGCCATATGCTTTATTGCAGCACATGCAGTCTGCCGATGCACCAGATCCCTGTTAAAAATAGTACAATATTAATTAGTTTATTTTATAGCATATTATAAACTGTACAACATAAGGTCACATACAACACGTCTGACAAATTCTGTCAACGGTCATCACATACCTGTCCATCAGAGCATCTTCTAGCAAGGGACACACTGCATAAATGTAGTCTTTTCCCATTTCTCCAATGTACTCAAATAAGAAAGACAGTGATTTCAAAACTCCATTTTGTACATTCAATTCTGGTACACGGTATTCATTCATCAGCGCTGGCAACACCGTAAAGGGAGAGCAAGTTTCCGCAACTATAGCAATAGCCACTGTTGTACACACTCTAAAAGAGAAAAAACATATAATTATTAATTAGCAATGTAAATATCTACAACTTTTTAGCAGGTACGAAGAAAGAAACACTACCTGTTCTGTCTCTCCTGTACTTTCAAGTTGTTGAGCAAGGTTGCCAATACATCATGAGGACCAATTGCTTTGGCAATATAACCAAAAGTATTTACAGTTGCTCGTCTGATAGCTTTTTTGTGAGCCTTAAGCAGCTCTAGCAGTTCAAAGCATATCCTCATCCATTCCCTCGCAGAGACGAATTCCGGTCCTCTATCAGCAATACGTCCAACCAAATCAATACAATTTTCTTGTACTTTTTCGTGCCTAAAAAAATAAATAATACAGTTGCATTGAATCAAAATACTAATAAGTATTTAAACATTAACTTATATAGATGAATGCAACTTACCTGTTTTTGAGAATAGGTGTTAATCTAGGTAGGAGATCTTTGATGGGAGGTGTCATTTTTGTCATACCAATCACATTAACGATAGCTTTTAGAGCACCCAATATCGAACCCAGTACTTCCGGATACTCTTCACCCAAGTATTCATAAAGTACGACGCCAAGATGTCCCATTAGTTTCTCCTGTGCAAAAAACATGTATATGTTATTAAACAGTTATGTTATGTATCTTTATATTTTTATTATGAAGAAAAGAATGGGTGGCTTACCTCCTGACAAGTTTTCATGACGACAGCAATGCGTGAAATTAGATCAGCAGCTTGTTGACGAACTTTCGCAGATTTATTGTTCATACGCCATAATATAATACCGCAGATCTGTGGCAGGTACGGTTTCACGCGCTTGCCCAGTTGGTTTACTATTGTACCGAAACCATTCAACATTACAACATCCTGTAATAAATAATCATTGAGGATTACTTTAGAAATTTTATTGTAAAAAATAATATTCGTTAGCCTTTTCGGACCCTTTTAACAAGTCTTACCTCAGTAGTCTGTTCTTGGAATGCGTACAATATACCATCAATAAGAGCCTCCTCCAGTTTGGAATCAATGTCAGCTGCGCCTAAATTGGCGAGAATCTTTTCTATAGATTCCATCACCATCTTTCTGTATTGCTCATTATCATCCTTTAGGTCATCGACTATTCTATTTATTATTTCAGATGCGCCAACCTGTAGAGTAAAAAAGTATAAGTAATAACGAATAAACAAGAAAGTATGTAAACTTCAACTTAATTTGCAATGTAAACTTACTTTGTTGGCGATTTCAACTGTGGTGTCCACAAGTTGGCGGTAGTTACGTCTATCGAGCGCCATACGATGATTCCAGAAATGTTTAAAGAAATGTGGTAGAATCTCGTCCATTATATACTGAGGTTCCACACCATCAGTACCACAACATTGTTTTACTACCTGTAAAAAAGTAAAACATTTAGATATTCAGATTATTGGGATACAAACATAGAGATTAAGTATAAAGTCCAAATAGGACTTTATCACATACCTTTAACACTATCTTTTTCATTTCCTCATCTGGAGACTGGAACTCACGAATAAGGATCAACATCACTTCACGCGTGTAATAATTAGCGTATTCGGCGTCCATGAGTGGGATGAGATAACCGATGGCCTTTAGGAAAGCCGCCAGACCCTTCCCACGATGAGTTCGGATACCCTTCCAGAGAGGTTTGAGCACGGAGTCGAATGATTCAATACCATATGGCGTAGCTGCCTCAGCGAGAGCGGCGCTCGCTAAAGCTGTGATAGTACGCACTTTCTGTTGCTCATCAACTAACCCTGTAATTCAATAAAATCAAGATTACAGACTCATGCAAGACTAAAAAGTACCGAGGTAACTTTGTATTCAGTGATAATAGAATACATACCATGTTCAATAATTTCCACCAAAGACTTAAGATGTGGCAGAATGGCGCAACCCATAAGAATAGCAATTTGCTGGACAATCTTTATACCAGTGTGCCTGGCTTGCCAAGATTTCTTTGATCGGCAGACAGCCTTCAAAAACGGCAGAAGTGATGGAATACCTGTGACAAATTAATAAGAGTTAGTCAACATGTCAATTTCAATTACAATAGTTACATAAATGTCTTAGTACTCACCTAAAGCAGAGGCTACTACAGCAAAGGCCCTGGCAGTTGTGTTACGTACGTATTCATCTATGTTGTCTATGTCAGGTCTCATAGTAGAGATCATAGTAGCTAAACCAGCGGCCTTAGCCAGGTTAGAGATAATTTCTCGACCTTCGACACGCGCATAATAATCTTCGTCAATCAACAGAGGTTCAATCACGACAAGGATCTGAAAATTAAATTATTATATTTTACTTTTAATTTAAGTTCAATTACGGCGCACAATAACAAAGTCGTAGAAACTTTGCAGAATAATATATTTTTTATTATTACTCAATATTATTTATTTGTTACAAAATTAAAGTCATACCTTATGAACATATGGACGGACCAAATCATCCAATTTATACAGAATTCTATCAATAACTTTGACCAGCAAATGTCTCTCTTGGTCTTCTAAAGTAGGACTCATAAGAAGTGGAAGAATCTGGTTAAATAAAGGGCCAGCTCCAAATTCACGAGCTTTGTCTGTTATTTGGCGAAGCGCAGCTTTGCACATAGGTGGAGTGCCATTCTGGAAAAAATACATAAAAGCATCAGTTATGTCAAAAATATAATATAAAAATAAGGAATAACAATATTGTAGAGATTCACCTTAATTTTTAACAGAAGTTTCATAATTTTCCTCTCTTTTAGTTCTTCTGGAGAAAGAGTGTCCTCGTCGACGTCAATGAGCAGTTTATCAAAGTACTGCGCATCTTCCGGTTTCATGAAGGGCAGTTGCTGGCTGCCTTTAGGCTGCGGGTCCAGTAGCCGCGCGGCTGCAGCGGCCGACCCTCCCAGTTCCTCCGTCTGCATGAAAAAGCCGATAGGGGTACCACCCAGTGGAGTAGGAGTTGCTGTCAGCTTTCGGGCTGGGGTCCGAATCGGAACATAACCTGGGTAACAACACATAAAGTTAACAATATCGCTAGAGTCACATGCCGCAACGAATGCTATTATCTTGTTAACATGCAGATTAACGTAGTATACAATCAGCAACTGACAAAATATTAAAGCTCAATCTGGCAGATAATCCAACGGCATGAGACTGTAAAGCCATATTGTCATCATTCATCTGAAAGAAAAATTAAGTATTAAAATGTAGGTATATTAATCTATCATTTTAATTGTATAACACATGTATGTATCGTACAACACTCAGTTACGGCGATAGATTTCCACATGTTGTTGACTTTGTTATATACATGTGTCCTGAAACTAAAGGGGTTATTAATAACTATGGGTAACCCTTAATATTTGTCACTCTTAAACACAATTTCATAAACCTAGGCCCACATTAATGTGTACATACCGGCAGGGGGCGGTAAAACCTTGTACCCAGGTGGGAACATGGCATCTAACTCTTCATCAGTGTAAGGACGGTTGCGCTCATCTATTTCCTTCTCCCAGCGGTAGGCTTGCAACTGCTCTGGTGTCATTGCAGCCACGTGTCCTGGAGTTGGTGTAGCCATCGCCATAGCCTTCATCCCCACTGGTGTTGACTGAAATATGAAAACATTTAGTAATCTTACATACAATATATAAAATCTGAAAAATGTAAATGTTTAAATCAAGACAAACTAACAGGAAGAACAAATCCTAAAACAGGATAATATAAATGTTACCCACAGAAAGCATAATTATTTGGTTAAAAAAAATAACTCACTCCTCCAGGTGTAAACATGGGCGTGTGAGGAGTCGGTGTGGCGTGTGAGGGAGTCGCATGTGAAGGAGTGGCGTGAGTAGGAGTGGCGTGCGAGGGAGTCGGCGTGGCGGCGGCCGGCGTGGCACCCGGCGTCTCGTCCCAGCGCGAGCGGCGCTTGGTGCCCGGCGTGGGCGTCTCTTGGATAGTATCCACACCAGTGCCGCGGTCAGTGCGGGGCGTCTCAGCCCAACCACTGTTATGTCCGGGTGTTTCTATAAAAGAACAAACGAAAATATGATACAAACATGAATCGGAAATGTAAAAAACATCAGACCTGTACTTTGTTGAAGATTGTGACTGGTGTTACAATAAGTAAGTAAGTGTTTTACCAGTAATAATTTTTTGATAAACATACAGATATAAATCTATATTAATTGTTTTCATTTTGTAATTAACATTCACGGTTTTCAGTGACTGTTTACTTGCCTCTGTCCGTTTTAGGAGTTTCATCCCAGCGGTTACGCCTGGAGGCATGTTGAGCGGGAGTGTCTCTACCAGGAGTGGCATGTCCAGGTGTAATATGTCCAGGCGTGGCATCCCACACGCGCGCAGAAGGCGTCGCCCCGGGTGTTTCTCCACCTCGACCAGGTGCACTAGGTGTTTCTTCCCAAGCTCCCCTCTGAAAATTGTAATTGATACACAGTGCAAATAAACTGACAATACTAATATGTAAGTACAATAAATTTTATAAGGAACAAATAATTACCTCTTGATCCCAGGATGGTGTAGTTTGAGAGGTTGGTGTAGCCGAAACAGTTTTCTTAGCCATAGGTGTGTCCTCAGAACTTTGATCCCAGCGACCTTTGCGTTTTGATGCTGGTTTGGTTGCCTCACCATTGGACTGAGCTACTGGTTTAAGAGTGCCTTCCCTTGCCTTTTCCAGCAACTTTTTTCGCAACTGTAAGCAAAGGAAAAATATGTATTATTGAATGAAGTTCTTTTAACATTGAAAAGGAAAAAACACTGGTTTACTATATATCATACAAGAAATAGTACTAATTACTGTACCTCAGTTTCTTCAGCTCGCAAATATTGCTCTCTCATAATCTCAGTGTAGGTCCTAGATCCAACATCTGGTGTTTTTCCACCTGTAAACAATATGAATTATAATACTAATGATTCCACTTTACTAATAATCTAGTATGATAATCTAGACTACACGCTAATCTTAACTCTTAATCATCTAGATCTCTATCATCTTGATCATCTACTTAGTAGTACAAAGATTTTAAACTAAGTATACTTTAAGTCTGAAAATGTGCCCAGTATATGGCAATAGGCTCACTCCCTATTACATGGGACTCATAACATAAAATAGTGAAAAGTCGGTGTTACATTGTACAGTAACATTAAGTGCCGTAATGTGCACCTCTGCCTACCCCTTCGGGGATAAAAGGCGTGAAGTTATGCTGTATACTTGAAGTAATCACCTTCTGCAAATGGATCTGTACGTTCTGGGGATATTATCATCCTACGCCTCTTTTGACGATACTCATCCTCTCTGTCAGCAATGGTTGGTCTTCTTTTATCAGCAAATGGATCATAATCCTTATCAGTCTAAAAATAAAAAAAAATATTATTAAAACACATTACTTATTTTTTTGCTTTCTTTTCAGTTCCACTTAAGGCTGTTGTAACCTGCACAGTGCAGGGTAGGTCTTGCACAATACTATGTAAGTAATTAGTATGATTCAGTGATAACATTGACTGCAGTATTTTATTAAATGAAAATATTTAGATACCAAATAAATACCTGTGCAATATCATTCAGCAAGGAAGCTGGTGCAGTGTAACCTCCTGACCTCTTTTGTGTGATTGGGACATTCTCCACATCATCATCTTCCACTTCATCATTAGCAGCAATAGAGGTTACATACCCATCATATCTAGATTTCCCACCTTGGCCAGCATTATCATAAATATCACTGTCATAGTATGTCTCGCCTAGCGATACACCTTTATTTGAACCATTCTCTGGCAATTCATTTTTCTTTGATTGGATTTCTCTTATCTGTGCTTCAATAGCTGTAAATTTAAATAAATGTATAATACATATACTAAGTTTTAATAAATGAAAATTAATCAAATTACATGACTTATATATTCGATTAAAGGAAGTTTGAGAGGTTTCAATTCAATTCCAAGTAAGCATGAAGAGAAACACCAATATGCTATGTTTAAAAACAAAAACAATCTATTGGACTTAATTGTGTATTTACACCTTTTAGACCTTTTAGTCTATCGTTATGACAATTACATTTTTAAGCAATATATATTTAAACGTAAAGCAATAAAGTATTCATTCCTAATTAATCCTATCCTATCCATCCATTCCTGCAGTGTACTGCTATACACAAGGCGTGGTAATCAATACCATGTTTGAGATAAGTATATGCAATTAATTAATAATACACCCAAGAACATTACTACAATAAATTCCGATATTCCCCTACAATAACAATAGAGATATATTATGTCAATTGAACAAACAATGTGTAAACTAATAAAATATGGCCACACAAAATAAAATTATTACCTTCGTGAGTCCTGGGTATCTTATCCATTATTCACGAATCATAGGAGCAACTAAAGGACTAAACCCGGAGTAATAAATACTAGTGAAAACGGCGTTATTTTTATACGTAGAGGTTTTCAAGAAACAAAATCACAATCACCATTTAATTTCTAACCAATTTATTTAGCCATTGACAAAAATATGCCGTAGCTATGTCATCGAGTATAGAGAACAAAGACAATAAAAGTTTTTTTACAGAGTGATTGACCATAGATTGGTAGACATTAAATAGGGATGTAGTAACATAACATTTTTTATTACAAGATAGGAATCTTACTAATATTAATAATGTGACTTGAACTGACGTGTTGTAATTCATATCATGTGAGTTTATGAGTTTTTATCCATTTTCAGTCCTTGTTTTCAGTATTAACTAAATGAGAGCAATTGTTTTTTGTCATCATTTGGCACAAAAGTGGTTATGTTCAATTATTGCAGCTGTCATTATGAAGTTCCGATTATACATCTATGCCAATAGTGCGTATTATTAATCCTAATGGGTATATAAAATGAAATTTTGATACTAGCGCCATCTAGTGAGTCAAAATACAGCAGTTTCCAATTTTGTGATGTTACCAGACCTAAAAATGCTAAAATCTTTTTTGTTACTTTCTACTGTTATCTGTGCATATTTCTCTCGCTACTGCAGCTGGGTACGTGTGTGTCTGTTTAAGAAAATTAAAATTTATAGTTTTTAGTTTAGATATTTATTGATAATGTTATTTTCTGTACAGGGAAATATATAACCGATCCTGGCGACTAAAGGATAATCTTCCAGATTGATTAGCTACAGTACTTTCGGTAAGTGTTGTTGTATTTTGTTAAGACGAGTTCCACGTCAAATGTGCTGGAAGGTGACACGTATTATCAAAATCGGGATGCCAATTTGTCTTAAATTTTTTACTCATATTTGATTGTTTTCAGACCAAATGCGACATGATAACACATATTTCTGTTGCATAGAGTTGCCAAAAACTACATTACTTTTCATTAATCACTCCAACATTGAAATTAATCGTAAATGTCTAATTATGTAGAAGTCTCGTGCACCATATACATATATAAACGCCGAAAACTTATGATATTACCTAAAAGTGTACAAAAAATATAATTTTGCTGAAATGATATGTATTTTTCCTTCTTCTATATACATTTCTAGACTTAAGAAGCTTGAAGTTCTGCGATTATTTAATATTTTTTACCATTTAAAATACATACCTATAATATACAGTTATTTTATTTCATATTCTTATCAGATTATTTTCAAAATAGTTACAGTTTTTAATTAAAATGTCTTTCAATTTAAAATCTTTTAAATCTTTCTTCTTATTTCTAAAATAATAGTGTGTTCTGTATACAGTTTTACACATGTAAATTTTTCCTTGTAAATAGTGTTCCTTTTTTGCTTTCGCAAACAAAATATCTATAAAGGCTATATCAACATATGCTTTAAATATTCTTAAACTGTCAAACACCAAGCGGTCACCGGTGACCGCAACCTATTGTTCTATAATTGTGTCTACAAAACCGGTACTCGACGAGTTAATTGCATGTTTGTTGGTATAACTGTAATAGTGTGATTGTTGAGCATACTAATTTTGTATTCACTTTAACTGAGGTTAAATTTATGCTTATATGAAATTTAATAATAATTATAAATCATACACTTAAATTATCCACTTGCATCATATTAGATAATTTTAATTATTAAACTGTTAAACACTGCAAGGACACCGGTGACCGCAACCTATTGTTCTTTAATTGTGTCTATAATGACGGTACTCAACGAGTTAATTAATTTCTGGTAATTGCTAATGGCAGTATTTGGAAAGAAGAATGTTAGTGTCATGATTTCTAATGTTGTCATAGTTAAAAAATGAGTATTTAATTAGATTAATCATTACGTCAGCACATTCAGCATATTATCCGTTCATGTATATTACATGTCATACTTAAACAAAATTCAACATTTGAATATTGATTGATACAGCTATTCATTAAATTGGTAATGAAAATTCTTTGCATTTGTTTGGAGTGTGAAGTGAATTTCTTATGATATATCAATAAAGTGAAACAGGTCATCACTTAAGATAATAAGATTTAACTTATCAACAAATTAATATGTAGTTGAACTTTGTAATGTCGAAACTATTTTACCATGATCCTTTTTTAGTGACAATCCATTCCTTTTAAAACATTTAACTTCAAATTCCATATTTCTATAATTTTATGCAGGAAATACAATGTTCCTATATTTTTCCAATCTAGCGTATACACTTAAAACAAATGTCCTTGATTGAAACTAGTGATGATTACAATCAAAGTATATTGTATTCAGTATTGGATACAATGAACATAATTTTAGAATGAATGGATTTTAAGCAATTGTTCAAATATGATAATGCAAATAAGACCACGGCTGTTATACTGACTGACTATATTGTTATCAATAAAAATGACTGTGCTCTATTTAAATTATTAGTACTGTAACGACTTGGCGCGAAAAAGGACTGCTGGAGGGGACGAACATGATGCATCAGCAATCCATGATGGTTGGAGATATGATTCCTGTTCATTCTGAGATACCCGTGCATGTTGAGGAGATGAATAACGTGAACTACGAGAACAACGCTTCCTACGCCTATGACGATCTATTTCCGGCTTTGCCTCACTCGCAGCCACCTGTCCAACGCAGCATTCAACAAGCTACCAATAAGCTGCGCGTTGGATCGTCGCTGCATACTCAGGTAGGATTCATATTTTATCAATTTTTCATAAGTTATGCTATGAATAGGACTGTACCAACACAAACACTTTATACCACTGTACAAAAGTGCAAGTTTAGCAAACCATCCCAAAAAAGTAAAAAGTAGTTTAGGTACCCGACCCAGGAATCGAATCCAAGACATAAGCAGTTGCACTAGCAACTGCTCTCAATAATAGGACAGTTCAATTATAAATCAGTCGCTATACATTCTCTATAAAAACACTTTAGGTAAGTACCTACCCAATATTGATATTTTGCACAAAACTCTTAAGCATACGTAAATTATACACGTGGAAGGCATACTATTTAAATCTTACGTAATCAGTAATGGCTAGTGATAAATAAATGTTGGGTAATAATATTTAAGTTCTTACAGATAATGAAAACAAAATGAGTTGATAACTAACATTGTTATCACCAAACAATTTATTACGAATTTTGATTTTTTTATCTTAACTACGTAATGTTTTAGATTATATATTTATATAAATTGGTCAGATTTATGTGAGCTTATATTGAGGCTCAACTATGCCATTCATGTATATTACATGACTTATGCATTTGTAGTATGTAGGACACTTGTCCACGTGTCTGAACGCATGTACAAGCCAACACAAACTGCCAGCGTTGACTAGTATTAGTATATTACATACTTTACGAAAGTATAAAACATATATATATCGACCAACTTGTATGAATACAACATTATTAAAAAAGTGTTTTATGGATATTATATCATTCAAAAAACAATAACGAAAATTCACTAAGCGATTTAGGACCAGGAAACAAAAATAAATTGACTTCTTGATTGCAATGTAACTATTTATTAGTCAAAGCCTGGGTTTAGTTTCCGATTCTAATTGACAGTTGTAAAAAATTAAACTAACGCAACGGGATGAACATCACGTAACAGAAAACTATACATTCTCTTAATAAATATTTATAATAAGTACATTTACAGGTATTCCATGTGCCATATGAAGAGAGAAAGTTAGACAACGCTAACACTTTCGGAGAGGGTGAATCCTTGAGAACTTGTCAATCCATTACTAAAGATACTGGAGCGCACATCGAAATATCTACCAGCAAAGACGGCAGTTTGACTTTCTTGATAACTGGCAAACACAGCGCTGTACTTGACGCAAGGCGCCTTATCTTGACACACTTCCAGCAACAGGTAAAGTTATACAAACTAGACTTTTTAATTAATTTTGGTTGTTGGTTTGTTTGACGACGTAATTCGATTAGTTTCAAACTTCTCGAGGAGTTCATAGCCATGAACAGAGGGCTTAGCGCCAAACGCGGTCTCGTTTCGATTACTAAGCCTTCAGCATTACGCAACAAACACGGGGGTCGTCGCGCAGAAAACATTTTGTATTTTTTTTTAATAGCAATAATCTAAATAATGTCTATAAAATATATTTGTTCATAGGCCAGCAAGCAAATTAACATCCCCAAGGAACACCACCGTTGGATTTTGGGAAAACAAGGTCAGAAGTTGAAAGAGTTGGAAAAAGTGACTGCTACTAAAATCAATGTACCTGGTATTGCTGATAATAGTGAGACCATTACCATTACTGGTACTAAGGAGGGCATTGAAAAAGCTGAACATGAAATCCGAGTTTGCTCTGAGGAACAGGTAACACTTTTGTCTTTTATTCAATTATTGTATCATACAACCCTATTTTGTTTTTGTTGCTGATTGTTAAATTATACGTTTTTTATTTACAGTCGCGTAAGGCTTTGGAACGCATCAAGATTCCGAAGATTTATCACCCATTCATTCAGGGTCCATACGGTGAACGTGCATCTGCGCTTAGCGCCGAGACAGGAGCACGCATCCACATTCCGCCTGCTTCGACTCAAAGCGATGAAATCGTAATTGCAGGCGAGAAGAATGGAGTACTCGCAGCCAAAGCGCAGATTGAACAAATCTACGAGGAAATGGTAGAAAATTTAAGATGCCATCAAACATTCTTAATTGGTTATTTACTCCAAAATGTATATTTATTCGATCATTTGTTTGTTAAAAGGTCAAAAAATGTTCAACCGTTCGTGTTGAGGTACCTAAATCTCAGCACAAATACGTGATTGGCGCTCGTGGCACAACTATTCAGGAAATACTTAAAGAAACTGAAGTTTCTGTGGAGATGCCTCCTCCAGATTCTCCCACTGGTACCATTACACTGCATGGACCGCACAACAAGATTGGTTTGGGTAAGTAACACTTGCTATAACTAACACTAATAATATAAAATATGAGATATTAAAACATTCTAAAATTGTTCAATTTTATCAACAGCTCTTTCAAAAGTATGCGAAAAAGCAAACTCTGTGAAAACTGCTACTGTTGATGCCCCAACTTGGATCCATAAGTATATCATTGGGAAGAATGGCTCTAATATAAAAAAGAT